TTGTCTAATTTTGTTAAATGTCTACATGGAGCTCTATAACTCTTTGTTGAATAAAAAAAATGTGAATTTACATTTATAGCTTCTGTCACTCTTACTGTCAAACAGCTGATAGATTGGTTATTTTTCTTCTATTTGCAGGGGTTTTCATAGTCTAGATTCTGTTTGTTTTTTAATATGTTTTTCTTCGAACATCTTTTTCCCCACTGCCTTTAATGCATCCAACACGGAGGGCGATGTCTCCACAAATCGTACGATTCCCGCAAATAACCCATAAAAAAAAGAGTGCATGAAAAGGGCCGTCTCCAATTTTAGCATTGAGGGTGTGATAATTATTTGCTCAGCAGATTGGGTGTGCGAAACAGAAATAGTCCAGGCAGTGGTCTGAAAAAATTGCATAAACCAAAATCAACCTAATCCTTTCATGCCAAATTAAAAACAAAACAAAATAATACACCATGCACTACACTACCAAGTTTAGGCCAACAGCTAATGTGTGAGAGAAGTGACATACCATAATAGTCTGTATTCTACTACCGGTAATCCCGGGAGAGCATTAACTCATTGTTATTTAAGTAAATGCCCTCCTGGTACTAAACAGACTATAATGTTCTAAAGGAAAAATGGAGAGAATAGCTTGGACTAAAGTAGACACTCACACTGTGTCACACGTGACTGCATGTACATGTATTATCCCATAGACTTTGGTGTGACGTGTGACTTTGTGGTAACGTGTCTACTTTATTTCAAGCAATGTACCCCTAGCTGTTTCTCGGAATAAAGAATAACCTTTTCTCCACAGTATACAATACATTTGAGTACATTCAGAAAGGGATTTGAAGCGCTACAATACTACAAGACCTTACCCTGAATTAAGTACGGTACCTTATAAATAATAGGGGGGGGGGTATTGCAACTGGGAGAATTTTGTGTAAATCTAACAGAAGATTTACATGTATACCCTATATGACTGACATAACACATAGGCCTGATAAAAATCATATTCTTAATCATTCATTTATTGATACAAAATAAATCATTTCAATACTGATTGAACTGAGTATGTTAATCGATGATTCAACCATTTATTTGAAACTATGTTGATCTTCTTTTTCTTCATTTTCCCATTTATTTATTTATTGCATGTTTTGCAACCCTTCATGTGCATGTGCATACACATTTATAATGAATAATACTAGAATGAATCAATCTGTAACAATGTCGCTATAGTCCCACAGTAAACAAAAACAAACAAACAAACAAAAAGTATGATGGAAACAGGAAATAGGAAAACACCGAAATAAGAGAATAATTCACTAATATACCTTGCCATGTGCTAAAAATGATGAAAGGTGCTACATGTACTTGTAAATCAGGTGTGTTTAAAATAAAGTTTCTTCTTTCTTTGAAATTAAGAGTGAAAAAAAAGAATGAGGAGGATCTACAACATATTTTACTGCGTTTGTTTTAAAATATTAACCCTACAGATTCAAAATGCAAGGGCAAAGCTAGTCCAGAATCTGTCTGATTTAATTTTAATCTCCAGAATTGCAATCTCCCCCATTACTGCAATCAAAAGCATCCTGAATTCTTTCGAATGTTGGCAGGGCGTAATTTTTCTCTTGATTACACTATCTTCAGCTTGAAGCAGGTAGGGTAGAGATCACGAAGTAGGAGAGCTTGTTGAAATAAAACCAGCCAGATACTGGTCTAGTGCTAAGTGCATCATGCAATGTAGTCTTTTTTTTTTGTTTACTTACAATGTGTCGCCACTTCTACAATAACCAAATAAGTTAACATGGTACATGATTTGAATAAGCCCAAAGCATCCCCCCCCCCCCCAAGGGCCCTGAATCTAGATCATACCAATTAAGAAGGAATGAGTAAATCTGCAAGTTTCAAGGCAGAATCCAGTCTGATTGGATAGAAAAGAATAGTTAAGCCACTGACAAATGTCTTGTTCTCGGAAAAAGCAGAGCTACAAGTTTTTTTGTAAACTTTCTTCATACATATGTAACTACATGTAATGGAATTTTTTAATAGCACTTGTTTTTCTCTCTTTCTACTAGACTAGCGTCTTCGAGTAGGTCGAGTATCTCTTTCAGTAAAAACATCTTTCCCTTCTATCTACATGTACATGTACATGCGGGCGTGAGTGTGATCTGGCTTCTTCAAGACCATGAGTTTTCAACTGGTTCCTTCATAAAGTTTACAGCTACAATGTATAAGCCAAAGATTCCCGGAGCCAGTTTCTCGCACCCACCATACAAGTATATGTCTCAGTTTGTGGACATCCCAAATAGAAATACATGTTAAATCCACATTACATGTTTCAACAGAAAGGCCGAAGAAGCTAGAGTTATGACGGTTTTGAGAAACGGTCCTCAGATGAGATTACTTCATGTTGACTTTGTGTACGCATGATAGAAAATGTTGTAATTATTGGGGATATTCACAAACAATAAATGGTCGTACATTGGACAGAAAGGGAAGTTAATTTTGTTATGCATAAAATTTAAAGAAAAAGAGGTTATATTTTAATCATGTTTGCAAGCTGCAATGATTTATGAAGGATTGAATGAACCAAATTTTGGAAAAAGACCTGTGCTTTTTTTGTGCATGTAGACATGCTAAGCCAAAAACAAAGGACACATTTTAGACCCATTTTGTTATGTAAGGGAGGGTCATATTTTCTGGAAAATGTTCTTAAAAGTATGCGCAATAGGTGCTAGTTTTCTTTACTCTGTTAATGATCATGTGTAGAGCCACTCAACATGAAGTAACACAACCAGGCAAAGATCAAATCTAAATAAATAAATTTAACAACAAAAAAAGAAAGAAAGTGAGAGAGAGAGAGAGAGAGAGAGAGAAGAAACATGTGAGGCATGCAAAAGCTCATATTCTGAAAGCATGCATGTCAAGTGAGGAAAAAATTGGAGGCACTGCTTCAGTCCAAAAATACATGTGGGTTAAATTTTTGAGGCCTTAGTTAGGCTTTTATTGCAATAAAAAAAGGTGTTAACTCTGTCAATGCCATTGCTCAAAATATCATTCACAATTTCTTTTCTTGACTTTTGGCAGTTTGGTCTACTCGTGACAGAAGTCTTAAACATGCATTTGATCTAACATGCTTTCTTATTGTAAGCTACAAAGTGTTTCGATCCACACTACCCTGCCTGCCTGCCAAGTGGCCTTTATTCTTGAGAATTCTAAATCTATGCAAGTGTGATTAAAAAAAAGTTGATATCTTACTCGCTGTTGTAAAAAACACAAGACAAGAGGGAGGGAAAAACATGACAGGTGATTAGGTATTATTAATGACAATGAAATGAGATGAATAATAAGTAGGTTTGGAATTCAATGCAAAGATCATAGCAGTAATACAAGCTGGTAAAGGAGTGCACACGCATGTAAACATGCTTATTGTACAGCTCTCGGTTAAGCTATGGTCACAAATCAGAACAGCGACCGACCGATCAGTAGCCTGCTCGGTCGCTGCTGGAATTAGGCATCGCCCAGCGATTAGGTCGGTGCCCGAGCGGCGACCGCCCAGGCACCGAGCGTATTTTGGGCGGTGAGTGAAAAGTGAGCAGGCGCCGCCCAAATTTTAACTCCGCGCTAAAACTTCAGCGGCGACCGAGCGATGCCCTAAAAACGAGCGGTACCTGGGCGGCCGCCGCTCGGTGGCCGGGCAGCCGCCGGGCAGAATTGGTTAAAAACTCGCCGCTCGGCCGCCGAGCAGGCTACTTTTGGGGTTTGTGACCATAGCATTAGGTAGTACATTATGTGATATAAACTCAAAACAATTTTTAAAAATGAATATCCATCTCTTCTAAAAGTCTCCATGTACATTAATAGATAACATATAAAATGTATCAACCTAACTAATACTTGAAATGAATAATTACACAAGGATTTTTTTGTTGCTCCGAGACAATTTCGTCTGTGTGGAGGCAAAAGGGTGTGTTCTCATATTAAAGCCCTTCTGGCTCCAAACAGACGTTTTAAAAATATAGTCATTACTTTAAGCTTGGAATCAAGTTTATTGAATAAATCACAGGTTTTGAAGTCTACATTTAAATTTCAGACTTAACCAAGAAAGCTATACAGTATATAACCACGGAAGCAGGACTGTCACTGTAAGGCCTACTCACTATGGATGTAGATAAGCTGGGATCAAATGATCGATAAAGGGGGGGGGGGCTAATACATTTTATCAAAACTTGATACCATTCCAGAGTCCAGACACAATGATTGGAATGCCAACCACAAGATGAGGGGTAGTCGATTCAATAAGGCACCCAAACAATATACAATGGCTATGCTTAGCCTGTAAAATAAAATCAATTTTGCTTTCTGTGCCTAGTTTGGTAATCACAAAAGAGAAGATAAAACCTTGTCCTTTCATAGAGTCAAGGTGTATGATGTGTGTCTCTTCTCTTCCTTGATTAACCATGGATATAGGGGTGCATGGATAGCACATCGATTCAAAAGGTATCTTTAATGAAACGCTTGTTCCAATTGAATAAATTAATCAACCATAACATGTAGAGTGTACTACTACTAGTAGACCGTGTGGAGCAATCTTCAATAAAAGTTTATCTCTAATACTAGTAATAGGAGAGACAAGTTTTCAGAATTGTTTCAGGTTGTTGATTAGTATACAAGGGTTTGTATCATTACCCCTCTTTCCCCTTCTCTCCTAAGATCTTATCCCTCCCCTCCTCATCTTATTTATCCCCAGCAACTTCTATTCCACTACCCCTCTCCTACCCCTCACTACCAACCGCCATCCCTCCCCCTTCCTATCAAACTCCTCCCAACCTCATACTTCTCCTTTCTCCCCTCCCCGTCACTATCCTACCCCTCCCAACCACCTAAAGTTGCACTTCTCTTCCCTTTCCTCCCTCTCCCTATCCCTCTCCCAATGCCCTACTCTTCCCCTCTCCCAATACCCTACCCCTCCCCCTCCCAATCCTACCCCTTCCTAGCTCAATACTCACTTGACTCTCTCCTGCTCCGACTGTCTGAGCTGCTCATCTCTCTGCAAGACATCCATGATGATCTTCCTCTCCTGCTCTGTCAGATGCTCCAGGTTGATCATCTTCCCTTGCTGTTCTCGTCAACAACCAGGAGAAACTTCAATTGGGGTCTATCGCCCCCTTACCGCGGTACCGCTCCGCACCCCTTCCTCTCGTAGTCAAGATAATTTGGATGCAGTATCCCGGGCTTGTACCATGGACACGGAAGCAGTTTAAGTTGCTACGGCGTGGAAAGCATAGTTTTACAGTTGGTTTAAACCACTTTTAAAGAACCTTGAACAAATTGGAGTGGTTTCTCCGCAGTAATTACAATCAGGCTAGATTGGTCAGGCTCTTTCGTATAAGATTTCACTTGTTTTCGTCGACCAGATGAGTTATCATTCAGAACCTGTACACACAAAAAGAGAAATAAAGATTAAAATAAATAATAAATAATAATAAAAACGTTACTTATAAAGTGCTTACCACCGAAGTCTCTAAGCGCTATACACACAAAATAGACTGATATACAATTACATCTTATACAAAACTAAAAATGCAAATAAACATACAAATTACAATACATATGGAATACACGTCAAAGTGAACAGAGTTAATTAATCATTGAACGCTATTTTGAATAAATGTGTCTTGAGACTAGTTTTGAATAGGTTGACAGTTTGACAGTTTTTTACATTTAAAGGTAATCTGTTCCAAAGTTCAGCAGAAGCTTTGCGAAAGGAGCGATTACCATAAGAAAGAGTTTACACAGAAGTAGATACGAGGTTTAATTGTGAAGATGACCGTAAACTGCGTGAGGGTGTGTATTCCTCGATTAATTCTTGCAGATAAATTGGTGCCAATTCATGAATGCATTTATAAGTTAAAATACATTGGTAAGAGAAGAAAAATGTCTAAATTACTTAAACACTTGCAAATTCCCATACAATCATCAACATTCAGCAAGTGCCAGGCTAATAATAGTACAAATGCTTAAAAACATTTGTAGTAAACGCCACTATTACTATTCTTCTTCTTATAATTAATGTATTATAAAACGGTTTGAACCCCACTTACTTGCATTTACAAATTTGATCAGCCCAAATGATCATAATCTATAACTTTTCCTGGCTGATTACCCCTCCATAAATTGACAATACCAGTACATTTCCTAGCAAACTTTAATGGCAGATATTGGTGTCAATTTCGTTAACTTTGTGAGAACCTGATAGTCGATCATTACAAGTTTTACAACCACACAAAAAACTTCCAGGGCTTGAATAATGATGATGATAGCCATGACCCAAATTAAAGCGATCAATCTCCAAAAATAGTTGGGCGTTTGATTCACAGTTGCTCTATGTGGCTATATAATATTACACTATGAACTTCAAAAAGCACCTCTGTAAAGAAACACTGTACATTTCAATACACTCTGGATTAACATCAAAGGGACTTATGAGTAGTCGACACACACATACGCACTTGCATGGAATTATGGCACCCAAGTGACTGCATGGAACTAACTAAAGTGCATAAAGCTTTATGAGTTCTTTTTCTTTATACTTATCCGCTGACCTATAGAATGCTGGTCAAGATTTTGGAGGTAGATTTCATGCATTCTAGTTGTACACAAATTATCTTTTGCGGTGACATGGTATCGAAATATGATCTTTGATAATTAATCACAAATTGGATAGATTCAGGGTATGTTTATGCTCAGCTTTTTCTGGCCAGAATCAGGCATCTGTTATGCGTTTAGTTCAAAACACGGTTGCGTCCTTTCTCATTTTTGAAGAATCACTGAAAAACGGCGATCACGATCACCGATCGTAAACTCACAAAAAGGTGCGTTTACGATCGTCGATGCTGCAAAATCGGCGCTTCTGGGAAGCATAAACGCACAATCATTTGTAAACGCGTTTAAATGGGGTCAACGCACTGACCTCTAGTGGGTCTACGTAGCATGCGCAGTGCAGGTTTGCGAATCCAGCTGCAAGGCCACCCAGCCAGATTTGCCTGGAGGAGCCAGAGAAGTGAGCATAAACAGTACACCGTGGAATTGCGATTACGATGAGCGTTTACGATGAGCGTTTCAGATCACTCATTCTACCTTCAAAATCAAGCATAAACGCACCCTCAGAATGATCGATAGCTCTATCAAACTCTGAACGAAATAAACATCATTATACTTGTTCAGATATGAAGGCGTTAAACCTTGGCAGTGTTTATGAAAACGTAATTAAGTCCAACACATTTCACATTTCTGTTACTTATAACACAGAGCTAATAAGTGAATATAAGCATTGGATCTTTGTTGGGCACAGTTGTATTAAAAAAATCTGGTTGTTTACCTGTTAATTTCCGTAGCCCTATCACCACTGATCAAATACGATATGTTTTACGTCATTTCGACCCCTCCTTAAAATGATCAAGGGCTAACTTTAGCTCATCACTGCCTGCAGCTGAGTCATATATATAGAGCTGTTTTGTCAATAAACATTAACAGGTCTCCACACAACTGATGCTCTTTGTTTGTATGTAAATTGGGATAGATTGTCATAAGGTACTATGGCTTAATTGTACAATGTGCATTGAGATCGAAATCATTCTCAAACAAAAGGATTCATTCCCTTTCAGCACATGTTCTTAACTTCTCGCTAAAGTTTATTAATAAATAATGTTGCCACTAATTTATTCCTTGCATGCAGTGGCGTAGATCCTAATACTTAAAACCTATCATTCAGGGGGGGGGGGGATGATCTATTCATTCATATCCCCCTGAACAATAGGTATTAAGTAAGGATCTCCGCCACTGCTTGCATGCAATGTATCTCCACTACATGTGTACTACCTTAAACATTTGGCAAAGTCTGTTTTTCTTTTTTCTTTTTAATGACATTTCTTTTTTTTACCAGTAATTTGTGCAAGTATAGATTGTTGTGTGCCTGAACTTCTGAAGGAAGGGCTATCTACATGTAGTAGGAGCATTTCCTAGTGCACATACTAGTACACAAAATGTTCACAAATTTTGCCGGTGCTTCAGATTTGAGGAAGGTATAAAAAAAAAAATATTGATAGTGAACATTTGTAATGTGCAATATATGTCTGTCAAAATCGACACTCCTGGCCCATGCAGTTGGAAGAAAGGAGTATAATTGTGGGTATGCATGTACATGTACATCTATAAAGTATAATTCAAGAAAAAAAAAATCAAAATACTTCAGGACATCATTTTGAAATAGCGCCTTGAGCATTTAATTAAAATGGATAATGGCGCTATATAAATCTCATGTATTATTATTATTATAATAGAATTACTTACACACATGTATGTACGAACTGTCAAAATATATTAAGGTGTACACAATTGACAGTCATTTGGTTTACTATGATCCATTTCTTGATCAGTTTGTAATTTCTGGATTTCAAATCAGCAAAATTTCATATACCGGTACCATGCAGTACCTGCCAGTTTCTCATAAAACAGCGAATACAGCAACCTCATTATGCCCATGCCCTCAGCTCTGTATGTACACTAGGCCCATAAAACACCAGTAATTAAGACGTGATGATTATCAACTACCAGTCTCTTAAACAAAATGCCAAAGAAATTGAGTTCATGGACTAATAATGCCAACAGCCTTTTTTAGTTTTGGAGGAAAATCTATGACACGATTTTCCAGATGGAATTTCTTTACAATTGTCCATTATCCTTCTTCTTGTTAAATTATAAGTATTTGATTAACTTAGTAATACTTGTCAAAAATGTGTTCATCATTATTATATTGGTTTAATTGAAAACTGAATGTTATGCATATAACTTTACATGTAAATTCACAGTCCAGTTGTTCCACTATTTCTTTGATATTAATTGAAGAGTACTGAAGAAAACATATATGTTTTGATTTAAACAGGATGGTTTCTTATACAGCTGCAAGCACAAATTGAATGGCACATAAGTCATGTCCATTCTATCATTAATAAAGGACATTGTAATGATCCAAAATGGAATATATATTTTACAAACTGTTAAACAGAGAAAAATAGACATATTACATAAATAATTATACTCTATAACACTCAATCAAAAGGGAGCCTCAGAAAACGAAAAGCTTCAAAAGGTCTACAAAAATTATATACCCTACAACCTGTAAGCAAAAAGAAACATTGTCTTTCAAAAGTTACCTGTAACTTAATAGAAGAGAATCCACAAAACACATCCAACCAATCAAAAGATAGATATCAATGCAGTAAAACAAAAATGAACAAAACAGATGAAAGGTGCCAGGATCCTGTGGAACTGCATGTAAGTAGTAGGTCCACGATGTAAGCCTCACAAACTTAATAATCACTCCCGACTTAATTCTCTCCTGTGATAAGCTTTACATTAGTGGTTAAAACCTGAAAAACCTTACGCCTCACGGTTGAATGGAGTCAGCTTCATACCCGTGTAGATAAACCTATCATGCACAGGGCCAGGGTAACTATTTTCTTTGTCGCTGGTATGTCCCGGCACTGTTTGGTCGATTCGCACGACTGAGCTTTGTGGAGCAATCGTGACTATTTGTAAAGTTACAACACACCCACCTTCCCATCAGTCAAGCAGCTAACGGTTAAATATTTGTGCATAAAATATGCAGACAAAAACTTATAATCTTCCATATATATGTGTGAGTTCTGCAGAGTATTACCAAAATAATGGCAACCAAGTAGAATCTAGGTGCTGCTCGATCATGGCATGTTTGTGGTAGAAAAAAAATGTGCAAATTTCTTTACAACAATAATTGCTCTTTCCCAGGAACGAGGTAATTGATCCCTGTATAAAACCTATTAGAATAATACAATTTTGTGAGCCCTGTGCTTTTTGCTTTTTTGGACGCGTAAGTATCGATATAACGAGAGAGAAAGTAGGAGGGGGAGGGGGAGGGGGGGGGGGAGGGTAGGCGCTGACCGGCTGTGCCCCTCTTCAATCTGCCACAAGCTGATCGATGCAGGTCCTGTCATCCAAAATTTGATTTTTGTTTTTGTGCCCTCTCCCCCTTCCAGAAGCCCAGGCCACCCCCTCATTTGCAACAGTAGGGACTTTTCGATTCGCACGTTCATAAGTGGACTGCGACGTATGCGGTCATTTTTAAGCAGGGTTGACGAGGCACGCTGACTGTTGTTCGTTACCTTTTCGATTTTAAACAACTACGACGCTCGCTTAGTGAGCGCGAAATTTGATCGAATAGCTAAAGATATAACACCAAATTCGGTGCATGGCACTGTTCTCAAAAATTATGCTGCAACAGATTAGCGTTGCATAAATAAAATGTGTTCATTTTATGAATTATTCTGCTTAGTGAGCGCGAAATTTGATCGAAAAGCTAAAGATTCAACACACCAAATTTGGTGCATGGGACTGATCTCAAAAATTATGCTGCAACAGATTGGCGATGCACAAATAAAATGTGTTCATTTTATGAATTATTCTACAACAATTTTGATCTAAGGGAAATTACAGACACGAAAATGTTTTAATTTAAGATAGTTCATGCTTCCACCACTCTCTGGTTCTAGAATTAGGTCAATTAATGGGTCCATTTTGTGACTTCAATGTGATGTTTCGTGCCTACAAAAGATTGCCTATGAACATGTATCGTCACAGTTTGCGAACGACGGCAAAACAAGGGCGAACGCGTTCGAGAATTCTGCTACTAACGATGAGCTCGTCGAAGCCCATGCGCACTGCTTCAAAAGTGACCGCATACGTCGCAGTCCACTAGTGGACGTGCAAATCGAAAAGTCCCTATTACATGTAGCTGCATTTAGAATGTAAACATAAAATCATAGATTTTTCTCACATATATTCCAGTGTTTTTCGCCGCTAGTTGTTTAGCAAATACCGGCAAACAACAACAAAATCAACCACTGGAGTGTGACTTTCTCTAATGCACGCCTGCCGAAGTTTCACTGATTTTTGCAGTGTAAATTTATGTAAACTCCGGTAAGATAGTGATTTTTGCTCACGTGACTCTCTCGTCGCCTTTGAGCTAACGCAATAATGCATGCAGGGCACTGACGAGTGGTGCACACGCACTACTCACCAAAGAATTGATATGAGCAAACTCTGACATTTTTTAATGGGTTTTTGTCCGGCCGTAGTGTAAATGGTAGTCCAAATATCAACAATTTTTTTTCAAAATGGTGTTTGGGATCTGTTAAATGGGCTTAATGACATATTTTCCTAAGTAGTTCAAACAAAAATTGGATCAGCCGGGCTCTCAAACTGAACAAGTCTTTATCCTTGCCCTTTTATAATCTCTTTTGTTTAAATCTACCTTGGTTTAAGCTGATATAAAGCATTGTTCATGTGCTGTACAATGAACGGGAAAAAGATTGAGAAAGCAGTTAGGCAGTTAGAGCTGTAATCAGCGTAATGCTCAGTCAAAAGTATATAATTTGACAGACATGAGTGCAATAACCTAATGTATAAGAGATCCTTTATTATTGTTTAAACACCACACCCTACTTAGTCACTATTACTATCTACTAAAAGTGCCATTAATAGGGGGAGCTTTAATCAAAAAAGAATATTTCAAACATTCCAAGACTTCAACTTAACAATAAACAAATATCAGTTTGAAAAACCCTGACATTATTTTTAAATTTTTTTTTAAAACACCTACATGTACATAATGTACATATAACATGATACAGTTTAGTCCGAATCATGATACGTGTACACTGAACAAAAAACAGAAAAGAAAATGAATGTGCTTGCCATCAATACCAACTTAGGGCGCGTTCATGCTTGATTTTGAAGGCAGAATGAGCGATTTGTAACGCTCATCGTAAACGCTCATCGTAATCGCAGTTCCACGGTGCACTGTTCATGCTCACTTCTCCAGGCAATTCTCCTTGGGTGGCCTTCAGCTGGATTCGCAAACCTGTGTGCGCATGCTACGTAGACCCACTAGAGGTCAGTGCGTTGACCCCATTTAAACGCGTTTACAAATTGTAAACGCATCTTTTTGTAAGTTTACGATCAGCGATCGTGATCGCCGTTTTTCGGTGATTCTACAAAAGTGAGCATGAACGCAATCGTGTTTTAAACTAAACGCGTAACAGATGCCTGATTCTGGCCGTCAAAATCAAGCATGAACGCGCCCTTATACCCTTTTCTAACTGCACCGATTTTCATCGGATGCATCCGGACGCATCCGATGAAAGTAGCAGTTAGAAATCAACAGAGGAGAAAAAGGCGATTAAATAGCCGATGAAAAGAAGAGAAATAGGCGATTAAATTCTCCTGCTCAAGAGCAGGAGAAATTCTCATTCTATCGGAGTGACACCGATGAAACGTGCAGTTAGAAAACGTTCGGGAGAAAAAGGCGATTAAAACAGCGATTAAAATGGTCAAAGATCGCAGTATACGCACGCTTTATCGTAACCAGCTGTGTTTGTTGACTTATGGTTGAACATGCTGCATGCTAGCTAGATGGAGCGCGGCCTTAATAATTACGCAATAATTCTTCACTTCCGGCAAGGGCTCGCCACAGCGAGTGAATTTCACCGGCAGTTAGAAAACGACAGGGGGAAAACTGCGGTTTCACCTTTGTTTACATAAGGAAAATTCAATCGGTATTTTCATCGGTGTGACTCCGATAGAGTGCAGTTAGAAAAAGGTATTAGAAACATATGGGGTGAGAATGTGGATGGTGATTAATACTGTGACAATCAAGTGCAAGTATACAAGCACCTGCTGACATGGGCTAGACATGTGGGCTCACAATAAACACTTCAAGTCAAAAGAGAGAAGAGAGAGAACAAAATCATTACACAAGAGAGTTTATTTCTCTTTAAAGGTAAAGGCCAGTTTTGGAAACGCCCCAATTTCAAAAAATGAAATGGAAGCTCTCATTACCAATCATGTGAAAGAATATGTTTTGACTAATACATGATGATAACAAATTTGCCGGGAAACCGCCTACTAATTCATATATGTGGTAAATTTGTTTCTCTCATGGTCTGTGAGAGATATAGGGTAGTCCCATATACATCTTTCTGTGTATAGTGCTTGTAACTTTACAAAGAATGGACCAAATTTCTTATCATTTTGATGATTCCAGAACCTTGCAGATGCTAGATGCTAGATGCTCAACCTTTTATGATCGATTCCACAACGTTTCTTTCACAATGCAATCGCAAACCATAACTGGTAAACATAAAGTCCCACTGCACTACTTATAGCTACTAATTGCGCCCTCTATATACCGGTACATTTGTAGCAAAAAATGCCTAAGCTGTGACCGTTGGCCCCCCATGATCCCCTTTTTCTTATGTTAATTGAGAGCTTATTTGCTGAGATAAACCACCTGTCAGTGACCATGCAGGGTCTTATAGAGTACCTAAGCTGTGCTTTTTTCATTTTCCGAAAGAGCATCAAAATTAATGTCCAAATATGAGTATATGACCATCTGAATAAAAGGATTTCCTATAGGAGCTCAGTGTTATTTTTCTCTGGCTCCTAATGTTATAAACCAGAGCAAAATAACACTGAGTTCCGATAGGAAATCTTTTTATTCAGATGGTCATATCCCAGCCAATACTTAACATATTCAATTGGCCTTCAACATTTGGACATTATTCACCACTCTAAAGGCCTATACATTTTCGTTTTTGTAATCTTGAACATTCAGTGTGAGTTTTGTTGGATTCTGTGATAATTTATTTTTTATCATTACCAGAACTCAAACATAATCTGCAAACGAGTGCATTCGCAATTCCGCATGGTCCCTACTACTAGTACAAGACAACTTTGAAACTTAAAATCATGTCCATCTTTAAAGATAAACTTGAGTACTGGTAATGCAATTGCATTGTGAAAGAAATGGTGTGGAATGGATCAGAAAAGTTGATCATATAGCATGTAAGTAATGGTGTGTAATGCAAGGTTCTAGAGTCATCAAAATCATCATAAATTTGGCAGAGTCTTGGTAATTAGTAACAATCACTTACACAGATAGATGTATATGGGACAACACACATGTGTCGGGGCTAGTACTACCCTGATTTCCTTATCTTTCTATGCTCATTACTCAGCCAGTATACATTTTCTTCCAAAATTGTTTGGCACATGACATTTAATTGTAATCTTGAGCATTCAGTGTAAGTTTCGTTAGATTCTGTGAGAATTCATTTTCTTTTTTTTACCAGAACTCAAGTTTATCTTTAAGTTAACAGGCTGTCATGTGAACCTCACTATCCCAAAGCACTATGGATGCATCCGACTGGTAATAACATATTCCCAGTATAATATCAAATGTCAACATCATTATCAGTGAGTCACATCCAGAATGAGATTGTATCACTTGTGAGCATTGGAATTCTATTATCAAAGATGAAGTTGAGTTCTGGTCATGC